GAAACTTCATGGTGCCACTGCTAAAAATTATTGGAGAACAAAGATAAATGAAAGACTCTAGCTCTTGCAGAATTTTACACCACTCAAAACCTTTACATTATTACAAGATTCATACACGCTTAAAGACGGCAAAATTGCTCTAAAAATGACATATTATTTGGCAAGAGATATAACTGCAACAGTTTTTCATCATGCTGCAAAACTTTAGGCTTGAAGCGCCCAAACTCTTAATGCAGGAATTTGATAAAAACAAGATGTAATAAATGTTAAGGAAGAGAAATTCTCTTTTTTCAAATGATAATACTTTCGTAAAAAAATACAGTGGTTTCTTTTTCTTTAAAACTGACCAGCTTGCAATGTCGATTAGTTTTCTTTGCTAACTGTTGATCAATTGTACCCGGCGGCTCAGTCCAAAGCTCAGTCACTAACGCATAATCTCTATCACGATCAGGTACTTCACGTAGATAAGGATCACCAGGTCTGCTGAAAAAACCTCTATTATAAATTTGGCTTGTCCGCAATCAAAGACATCTGAAGCATATTGAACAAGGAACTTGAACCAGACGAAAGCAAAATTAGCAATTTAGGCAATTGACAGTGTCAAAAAGAATGTGCAGATAACTGAAAAATTCAACGACAATGTCGAGCTGAAAGAATTATGATAAAAGCAAGCAGAACTGCGCCGAAGGTTCTAAATACTTATAATATCAAAACTGTTGAACTAGATTACACTAGATCTGCCTGATAAACCATACATTTTCAAAAAATGCTTTCCACGCTGCATAACGAGTGAAAACTATTGGGGAAAAAGTTCATTTTTTAAATAATAATGCTTGATTAAGACTGTAGAGCTTTTCAAAATTGATATTAAGAAAGCTTAAATTTGTTAGAGAAACACTACTGTGACAAGGAGAGGTTAAACAGGCAGATACAGAAATAAAAAACTTTTCTGGTAAAAACTCTTTGGAGCTTGAGAAATTAGAGGCTGGTAACGTAAGAAATTGAAAAAAAAACCATCATTGTTTCATAAGGATAAAATTTGGCTCTGTTTCAGTAAATCCTGTAACAGTTACAATTTTATTACTACAGCCAAAATATTTGTTAGTAAAATAAATTTTGAACCTTTTTTCAATCTCTCCTTTGTTTAAAGAGAGCAAAATTTGAACTTGGAAAAGTCAATTTAAATCCTGAAATCTTCTTATTTCCAGCATAATAACTGCTCTTATCATATCTCTTTTTCACACCACAATAACTATACAAAAAAGAAAGTTATATTCAAAAATAAAATGACTGCAAAATTTACAATGGAAAGCAGTGTTACTCATAGGCTGGCTCCTTATGACCTCCCTAAACTAAGATATACTTTATTTCTAACGCAGTCAGCAAAAAGAGTTCAGTATCAAAACTGGAGGAATGTTCTTTTGCAGTGTAGACAAAGGTTCCAACTCAAATCCAAAAAATTTAAACAATTTTTTCTGCAAGTTAAGAGAACTGAAAAAATACAATCAATCTGCAAAATATTATGTATAAAGCGAATTTCAGATAGTGACCAACTCCGACATCTTAAAACAAGAAATTTAGGAAAGAGCAGATAAATGCAAACATATCAGATTTCAATCCACTTAAAGTTTTTAAAAAAAGTTAATACTGCAATTTTATGCATTAGGAGTATCATTCATAACACGACTGGACGACTGAAGAATAAAACCCAGAATAAAGCTATGAAGCAAAAAGACTAACAAAGTGTCTCACACAGGAGTCTTTGCACACTGTTGAACGCCAAGATAATCAGTGACAAGACAACCACTTTAGACACTGATATTCGCGAAGTTAAAAAAAAATAAAATATTTGAATAAACAAAAGCAGAGTGAGAGTAAAAAATGCTAATTTTCCAAAAAATGAAAAGATGTTCCAGAAGATTTAAGACTGACATCTGTATTTACCAGACAGAGATCGTATACCCACAGTATCTAAATGTGCTATAAAACACAATAAAAGTTTCATATCTAACGAGGAAGAGTGTTCGCTTAATGAGCGATGTTCTCGGCATCAAATAAGAGCAAGAAAAGAAAATTAGATCATACATGAGAAGAAGAGATGAAAGCAAACTAAAGTTAAGAGAAATCAAAACGTCAATTTAAATACTACTCACCCAATAATATATGACGTGCCGCTGACCATCAAGGGGAGTGGCGGAAAAATAATGTACTGTTGTAAAGCGGAACCACAGTACTCGTCTTTTTCTGGTTTAAATTCCTTGCACAAAGTCACTATCCCATTGTGACTCGATGTAACACTAAAACCTTCCTCCAAACGCCTACTGAAAAAAAGCAAGTGCTGATCACATTCTACCCTTTGTTAGTAAGCTAGTCCGTTATACTGATGAAAAAACACATAATTTAAAAATTTTTAAAAGTGACTAACAGCAAGACAGTGCGTAGAATATAGTCTGCTGACGCTTCTCTGGTATAAATTTGGGAATGAATTCTAGGCAAATGATAAATACGACGACTGAAAGATTAATACACCATCTTTCCCACAAGAAAAAAAAAGTCAAAGCAGCAAATGTAGTTGAAAAACTAGCCTGCAACAAAGGTACCTAACCACAGCATTCTGAAGTATATTGCTCCGTTTATTATCCGAGTTGTCTAAGCGAATGAAGGAATTGAGGGCTGACGGCACTGTGCGGTACAAAGCAATAATCCTTTCCAACGGCCTCCGTATAATCGTTATAGCGGATATACTCTAAAGTGAATTTCAACTGTTCATCGTTCATAGTAGGTCAGAATTATCACTCTCATCAATAATAGCCAACAATAGTTTATTTTCACTAATGTGGAACGACACAGTAGCAGTCCAAATTTCAAATTACCGTTGACTGTACACTGCTTGATGCGCCATCAGACTGTTTTCTGTATATTTTTAAATGTCTTGAAACTGTTAACGACATCAAATCTCGTGTTATACCAGCTACGGTCTAAGAAATAGATACTCTTTACATTAAGGAAACCAACAGTACACGCTGGCTCACTATTAGAAAAAAAAAAGCCACACTACTGCGATGATAAAGTAAAATAAAAATTTACAAAAATATGACACTTATGCTCAAACAAATAATTCAGGTCTCTTTATTCTTAACCAAGCAAAGAACCAGACCTGGGCTCTAACTTCTGGAGGAGTTCCACACAAGAATGCGACTTTAAGGCAAACACAAGGAGGCTCCATTGTGGCACAAATTAAATAATAATATTCAGGAGCACCGTCACTGCTAAAAGTCCATTAGAAATATTATACAGGAAAACGTTCCCAAAAAAAGAAAAGAAAAAAAAAGAGCCTACCTACAAACAAATTTTACAAAGATTTGTCTGTATAAAAGGTGGAATGAAGTTATTTCAGCCAACTTTTTGTAGAAGGCAGTACAAGCTTCATTACATTCAATCGGAGAATAACTTCTATCCGAAGAACGAATTATAAACAACGATGCGGGAAGTACAGCATCTTGTAAGAGAACTAATCGTATCGGATGTATGTGCATCCATTTTTGCCTTAAAAAATCCAAATACGAGGCAAAACATAGGAAAACGGTAATTTTAAAGTACTGTAAAAAGTACCATATCCCCTCCTCAAAATTGCAAAAAGACTGCCAAAACTTCACAAAATTCGCCACAGATTGGTTTTTCTTAAGAGCGTTTTCCAATAACCTAAACGAACATCAATCCAGATATTATTTTAGAATGCAATAATAAGTAATAAACATTTAAGTATGACAGATGAAATACGAACGAACGCCTTCAATAAAAAGCTCACTTTGATAAAATTAATGTTGGTTCGCATAACTCGTTAGAAGTTAGATAAAAAACAGCTTCTCCAGCATCCAGCTCAGCTGGTACTAAATACCAATCCGAATTATCGCTGAATGAGTGAAGGTAAGCAAGACAATGATCTGCCTGGATAAAACTGAAAATGACGTCCTTATTCATAAAAAACTATTTGAAAATTACAATTAAATTGTTCAAAAACTAAAAAATAATGCATCAAACACTAAATCCAGCAAAACCCAACAACACTTCGCTAGTCATAAATAGACCTGTTAAAAGAACTCCCTAATGTATCGGCAACGAGTTCGTTTGGCGAAGGTAGCGCAATGGTCTCTGTCTGAATTTTATCCAACTCTGACGAAGGAGCTTCAACAAAAAATGTTACCTCCAGTTTTTCCCTAAAAAGGCAAGGTATACTCAACAAAGCATCATCCAGACAAAAAACCAGTCTTCTAAATCACATAAGGTATGATCAAAATAGCTACAAAAGTGTACCGCTGCCTATCAAATGGCCATGGAATCTTGATGCAATAATTAATAAATGCCATCGAACGCCAAGGGAGACAAAGTTCAATGCAGAGAACTGCTCTGATTCCATGCGTGGGAGCTTTCTCAAAATATGTTCTGCGAACGAAATAACCTTCTCGCATTCGTAATATTAGAATGCGCAACAAACTTGCCTCATATTCAAAAGTAATGTGTTTTTGCTGGCGCATATCCCTGTAAAAACCCCTAAAGTTATTTCTACCACTAAAAAAGACCCCTTTAGTGAAAGACGGAAGTGCGTCACGAAAAAGGTAAAAAGTAACCTTATAAAAACACATATATATTTATATTTATAATCACTTATTTGTTCATTTATATTTATATTTGCATTCATATTTGTGTTTGTGTTTATATTTATATATGGGTCACTCCACGTCCAACGACACACTTTCTCGTTTTGACTCAGATGTTTTCTCAAACTTTGTCGAATCGCAGGAATGCAAAATCAAAACAAACTACCTCCAAAAGTGCGACAGCGGCAAAGTTAAACCAATCTAAACTGTTAAAGGACTAGCTATCTCTGTCAAAAAAAAAAAAAAAAAAAC